CCACGACCTTGAGTTATCAACTATTGTTCATGACTTGAAGATTTGGTGGCACTATTTGTACGGTGTCCCTTGTGAGATCTACACTGATCACCGGAGTTTGCAGCATCTATTTAAATAGAAGGATCTTAACTTGTGTTAGCGGAGGTGGTTGGAGCTGCTTAAGGATTATGATATCACCATTTTGTACATCTCAGGAAGGCCAATGTGGTGGTCGATGCTTTGAGTCATCGGGAGGAGAGTTTGGGGAGCTTAGCATATCTACCAGTAGAAGAGAGGCCATTGGAGTTAGATGTTCAGGCCTTAGCCAACCAGTTTGTTAGATTGGATATTTTCGAGCCGAGTCGAGTGTTGGCTTGTGTAGTCTCTCGGTCTTCTCTTTATGATCATATCAAGGAGTGTCAGTATGATGACCCCTATCTGCTTGTCCTTAAGTGCATGTTTTAGCACGGTGATGCTAAGGAGGTCACTATTGGAGATGATGGTGCACTGAAGATACAGGACAGGCTATGTGTGCCAAATGTAGATGGTCTGTGTGAGTTGATTCTCCAGAAGGCTCACAATTCATGGTAGTCCATTCACCCGGGTGCCGCGAAGATGTATCAGGACTTGAGGAAGCATTACTGGTAGAGGAGAATGAAGAAGGACATAGTGGTATATGTAGCCCGGTGTCTGAATTGCCAGCAGGTAAAGTATGAGCATCAACGGCCATGTGGATTGCTTCAGAAGTTAGAGATTCCAGAGTGAAAATGGGAGCGGATCACTATGTATTTTGTTGTTGGGCTTCCACGGACTCAGCGGAAGTTTGATGCAGTTTGGGTGATTGTGGATAGGCTGACCAAGTCAGCTCATTTCATTCCTGAGATGACTACTTATTCTTTCGAGCAGTTGGCTCGAGTTTATATCCGCGAGATTGTCAGGCTTCATGGCGTGCCGGTATCTCTTATCTCTGACCAGGGTACGTAGTTTGCATCATGGATCTAGAGTGTCGTACAATGTGAGTTGGGTACTCAAGTAGAGTTGAGCACAACATTTCACCCTTAGACGGATGGACAGTCCGAGTGCACAATTTAGATATTAGAGGATATGCTCCGTGCGGGTGTGATGGAGTTTGGAGGTTCATGGGATCAGTTCTTGCCACTTGTGGAGTTTGCCTACAACAACAGTTATCAGTCGAGCATCCTGATGGCACCGTATGAGGCTCTATATGGTAGGCGGTGTCGGTATCTAGTGGGTTGGTTCGAGCCGGGCGAGGCTAGGCTATTGGGCACAGACTTAGTTTAGGATGCTTTGGTAAAGGTTAAGGTGATTCAGGATCGACTTCGCACAGCCCAGTCTAGACAGAAGAGTTATGCAGATCGGAAGGTTCGCAATGTTGCATTCATGGTTGTAGAGCGGGTCTTGCTCCGGGTTTTGCCCTTGAAGGGTGTTATGAGGTTCGGAAAGAAGGGCAAGCTGAGCCCAAGGTTTATCGGCCCATTCGAGGTGTTGTGGTGTGTTGGGGAGGTTGCTTATGAGCTTACCTTGCCTGAGGTAGTACCTCGGGAGATCTCCTCACATATTTACTTTTGGGACTACGAGACGGTATCTCAGGAGATCCCCTGTTGAGTATTTACTTTTGTTCTATGTTGTTATTTCTCTGTGAATTCTTTCTGTTAAATTCTCCATTTTACTTTATTTTTATTATATTATCTGTCTAATTATTATATCCCAGTAGGGCCCAGACCTGACCTCGTCACTACTCTACCGAGGTTATGCTTGGCACTTACTGGGTACCGTTGTGGTGTACTCATGCTACTCTTCTGCACATGTTTTGTGTGCAGATTCAGGTGCTTCTTATCAGCCCCGCTACTAGCTGAGAGTGCTTTCTGTTGTACGGAGACTTCAAGGTACATTTTCCGCGTCCGCAGACCTCAGAGTCCCCATCTATTCTCTCCTATGTCATTTACCTTCCGTACTTCTTTTGTTAGACTCTGTTGTATAGAGATACTAGTTTTCCTCTGTAGCTTGTGACATATGATGTTCCGGGTTTTAGGAATATTGTGTATTACTAGAGTGGTTTTTATTGTAAATGTCGAGTGGCATTGTTATGAGTTATTTAGTTATCTGTTGTAGTTAGTTATTAAGTTTTGCTTCCATTTTTGTTATTTTTGCTTTTTGTTAGGCTTACCTAGTCGTAGAGACTAGATGCCATCTTGATATCTTACGGAGGGAGAATTGGGCCGTGACAAATTGGTATCAGAGCTCTAGGTTCATAGGTGTCGTGAGTCACAACCCGATTTATTAGAGTCTCGCGGATCGGTACGGAGACGTCTGTACTTATCTTCGGGAGGCTACGGAACTGTTAGGAAAAATTTTACTACTTTGATTCCTTATCGTGCGAAAATTGTTGACTTCAAAAAAAAAAGAAATCTAAACTTCTGTATTCTATTCTCTCACAGATGGTGAGGATATGTATAGGCGGATCTGATGACTAGGCACCCGTGCCCCCAGCTAGAGTGGCGAGAGTTGCTACAGAGGATCCCCCAGCAGCTCCAGCTGGAGGGCAGACACCTGAGGTACATGTTGCTGCACCAGCCCTCCAGGAGACTCTAGCCTAGTTTTTGAGCATGTTCAGCACCTTGGCTTAGGCTGGATTGATTCCACTTGCTCCTGCCACATCTCAGGCCGGGGGAGGAGCATAGACTCCCATCGCCGGTACTCCAGAGTAGCGGGCTCAGGTCGGCCAGGTTCCAGAGATTATACTAATGCAACCGGTAGCTCTAGCTCAGCCCGAGGTTAGGGCAGCACTTTATGAGGCGGAGTAGCTCAGACTTGAGGTACAAGAAGTACCACCCTTCTACCTTCAGTGGATTGGCGTCAGAGGATGCCTAAAGTTTTCTGGAAGAGTGTCACCGTATTCTCCGTACTATGGGTGTAGCAGAATCGAGTGGGATTTCTTTTACTAAATTCCAGCTTAGAGGAGCAGCCTATCAGTGGTGGCGTGCTTATGAGTTGGGTAGTCCGGCTGAGGAAGCTTTACTTACATGGACTCAATTCTCGGACATGTTGTTGAGGTAGTATGTTCCCCAGAGTCTAAAAGACGCATGGCGCACGGAGTTTGAGCAGTTGGGCCAAGGTGCTATGACTGTGTCAGAGTATGCAGTTTGCTTCAGTGATTTTGCACGACATGCTCCAGCCTTGGTTGCCACAATTCGAGAGAGGGTTCGTCGATTTATTGAGGGACTCCACCCTAGTATCGGGCTTAGTATGGCCCGAGAGTTGGAGATGGATATTTCTTACCAGCAGGTTGTGAGTAGTGCTAGGAGATTGGAGGGTATGCTTGCTTGGGAGAGAGAGGAGAGGGAGGCCAAGAAGTCTCGAGATTCTGGCACTTATAGTGGTACTCGTGCCCCAGCTGCAGTTCGTCATGGTAGGGGTTATGTGAGTCGCCCCGTCCACTCAGCACTTCCAGTCGCTAGTGGTATTCCAGCCCCTTCTAGGCCCTAGGAACCTCATTATGCATCACCAGTATCTAGTGCGCCTCCTGCACGCGGTGCTTTTAGCGGTCAGTCCAGCAGATCTGGCCCGAGCCAAGCACAAAAGCCATGCCCTCCGAGGGCTTGTTTTGAGTGTGGCGACACTCGCCATATGGTGAGGGATTGTCCCAGACTTAGGAGGGGTGCACCTCCACAGACTTCTCAGCCACTGCGTACTCCACCGGGTTCAGGCTATGATTACAGCACCAGCTACTTCCCCACTCTCCGCCAGCTTGAGGTGGAGGTCAGGGAGGTCGAAGTCGCCTAGAGGGGGAGGCCAAACCAGATATTATGCTCTTCATGCTTGTACAGACGCAGTTGCTTCCGACTCTGTCATTACAGGTATAGTTTCGATTTGTCATAGAGATGCGTCGATTTTATTTGACCCAGGCTTCACTTATTACTATGTGTCCTCTTATTTTGCCCCATATTTGGGCGTATCTCGTGATTCTTTGAGGTCTCCTATTTATGTGTCTACACCTTTGGGAGATTCTCTTGTTGTGGACCGCGTGTATCGATCATGTTTGGTTCCTCTTAGTGGTTTTGAGACCAGAGCCGATTTATTATTTCTCAGTATGGTAAACTTTGATGTTATCTTGGGCATAGATTGGTTGTCGCCCCATTATACTATTCTTGATTTTCACGCTAAGACCGTGACGCTGGCTATGCCAAGATTACCGCGATTAGAGTGGAGAGGTACCTTAGAGTATACTCCCAGCAGAGCTATTTCATTTCTTAAAGCTCAATAAATGGTTGAGAAGGGGTGTGACGCGTATCTAGCTTATGTGAGAGATGTCAGTATTGATACCCCTACAGTTGAGTTAGTCCCAGTAGTGAGGGATTTTCCAAATGTGTTTCCAGCTGATCTTCCGGGCATGCCGCCCGACAAAGATATTGATTTTGGCATTGATTTGTTGCCGGGCACTCAGCCTATCCTCTATTCCTCCATATCGTATGGCTCCTCCTGAGTTGAAGGAGCAGTTACAGGAGTTGGATGATAAGGGCTTCATTCGGCCTTCTGTGTCACCTTAGGGTGCTCCGGTCTTGTTTGTGAAGAAGAAGGATGGTTCTATGCGTATGTGCATTGATTATTGCCAGCTGAACAAAGTTACAGTGAAGAACATGTATCCATTGCCTCATATTGATGATTTATTTGATCGGACTGTAGAAGACTCTGTTTCTAGATTGGTTTTCAGATGCTCATGACTCAGTGACACCCCGATGTCGGGCTATTTTTCCGCACTTATATTTTATTTGGGATTTACCCCTATTTTTATGAAAAACTTTGGTTATTTTAAATGTCTTAATTCACTTATGTTAAATTTTGAAAGTGTTTTAGAAAGGTCGGCTTGCCTAGTATCACGATAGGCGCCATCACGACGGGTTAGGTTTTGGGTCGTAACATGGGCATTGATCACGGCTATTATAGAGTAGTGGCGACTGGAGACGCACACGTTTCATCTATCCATCGGCGAGGCTACCATCATGCTTGAGGACGTGGATGTTCTCTTTGGGCTGCCGGTTGATGGATTACCTGTAGCTTACCCGCATGCTCTTAGAGACTATAGCGGAGTGCATTACCTGCATATGTTGCAGCGACTCACCTGTTTCCAGCTAGCAGAGGAGACTGCATTGAGTGGGGTGAGTCGATTACAGCTGATGCCCGTTCGGCAGCATCTGGCGGCGATGGATGCGGAGATTACGGATGGTTCACCGGCGAAGGATATCGACCGGCACACGAGATTGTTGTTGTTGCTGATGTTTGGTGGTGTATTGTTCTTGAACACTTCAGGAAACCTAGTCAGCTTGAGATTTCTACATCATATGGAACAACTAGATGATTTACCTAGCTACAGCTGGGGTGCAGCTTTTCTAGGTTACCTGTATAGGCAGATATGTTGGGCGTGCATAACGTTGCCGGATTTTTACCGCTGCTACAGGTGAAAACATAGTCAATTCTTTTTATGATTATAACATACATAGTAAAAAAAATACAGTAAATTTAACATCCACAATCTATATTAAGTTTGGGCCTGGGAGCGGTTCCTACAGTTCTAACCACCTTTACCACCGATGGCTCCGGATGCACCACCTCCACCGTTTTTACCTTTTTATTGGAGGTGGGTTGATAGGGGAGGCTATGGACGCGAGTTCGAGGCTCAACATCATCTCCCCTATTACAGGGAATTGTTGGATTTGCTTGAAGGCACGCAAGTACATGTATACTTAAGTTTACTTGGCCTGGCTTTATATGTGTTGCGTTTACTCACGATTCCTGTGTTTAATTAATAGTTCGTATGGAGGCCATACAGCGACAAGCTCATAGCTGGTTTGCCCGATTATTGCTCCCGTGGCCGAGATATGTGGAGCTCTTCTGTCCCATTGATATGTCTCGATATTGTCGAGCATCATGCCACCGAGCGAGTCCTTCGCCAGTTTGATCAACCACAGCTTGTACCTATTCCGCCTACTTGGCTTAGGACACATTACTAGCGGGATGATCGTTCCAGGGTTGACCAGACATACTTGGCCTCGCTAGAGGCCCAGATTGAGGTTTGGGACCAGAGGCATGACCTGATTCGGCCACCCCCTCCACATGAGCATACGGATGGCGAGCATGAGTATATGGGTTGGTATCGCAGCGTTACCCGACTTCTCGTAAGGAATCCCGTTCATCGCGCTGGTGGTCGGTACATTCCATACGCCGGGAGGCATGAGGCACTGGTATGTTATTTGTTATACTTACTTATACATAGAGACAATGATTATGTATGTATAGCGCATGTATTCACTGCGCTATACTATAGCGCGTCCTATATGTGCGCTATACAGCCCGTCCTTTTTTTAGTTCAAATATAGCTCGATTATTCACCGCACTATACCTTAACGACACGTTTGTCCGTTAAGGTATAGCGCGGTGAATAACCATGCTATATTTAAAATGGTACCCAGTTTTTCTTTTTACCTATTTAGGTCATTTGAGTCCAAAAGAACCACACTTTGGTGTCAGACTCCCTTTTCAATAAAGTAAACTAGCTTTCAGTGTCTACTTCTCAGATTCTCCTCTCTCTCTCTCATATTATCTGTCACGACCCAAAATCCCACCACAGGCGTCGTGATGGCACCTAGTCTCTAAGACTAGGTAAGCCGATTTCAATTACATTTTGAAGCCAATTGTTTTCTTTTAAAATAGAAACTAACAGCGGAAATAATTACAAATATAGCAACCTTCCCAAAATTGGTAGTACTGAGTCACGAACTCTAACTGAATACATGGAATGATCACGAGGACCCAATATACAATATTGTTTGATTAAAAATTAACAGTACAATGAAATGAAAAGACTCCAAGGGACTGCGATGATCAAGCAGCTCTATCTTGAATCCTTACGATCCCGCTTTAGCTCTGCTCAAATCCAATATCTCCAATACCTGGCTCTATACAAAAATGTGCAGAAGTATAGTATGAGTACACCACGGACGGTACCCAGTAAGTATCAAGACTAATCTCAGTGGAGTAGAGACGAGGTACAGTCAAGACACTCAATAGTCTAATAGCCTGTGCAATATAATATACAAAATAATAGGAAACAAATAACAATAAGGCCAACATAAAACAACTAGTGATATGCACAACAGACAACAAGAACACCATAAATCTCGCTCAACAATTAATAAATACAATTACACCCAATTAATTCAAGTCCTTCAAATAAATGTCTTTCACATATAATTCTTCCAAATAACTCTCTTTCAAATATAATTTTCTCAAATAATTATCTTTGAAATATAATTCTTTCAATAAATCTCTTCAATATGATTTCCTCAAATAAATATCTTTCAAATACAATTCTTTCATATAATACTTTCTAAATAAAAATCCTTCCAAATAAATATTCTGAATATAATTCTTTCAATTAAAAGTCACCCTCTGACACCTCATTTCATAATCATAAGAATATGGGTCTCATCCCTTTTTCATATTTTTCATAAACACGAGTCTCAGCCCATATTTCATATTTCCACGGCACCTCGTGCCCATAATTAAATCATCATATTTTCCCAGCACCACGTGCCCTCATTTCATATCACAACTGCACGGACAATTTACGTGTCAAATATCATTATCTTTTAATCACAGCACCTCGTGCCCACATTTCATATCACAATTGCCTGGCAATAGCCACAGGCTCTCAATTTCAACATAAATCAGATTGTTATCAATTTACCAACAACAAGACAAATTGTACAAGGTATAAAAATAAACACAAAAAAATCACAACATCACATGAAAATTACCAACACCACAACTCCACATCCTCATATATCGTCCCCGACAAAATCCACCCTTATCTCTCCTATAGCCGCCCTTATCACTCCTATAATAGCCTCCCTTATCCCCCCTCCCTGACAATATCAATAGCCACCCTTATCGCTCATATTGCCACCCTTATCTCTCCTATAGCCACCATTATCGCTCCGCCCAGACAATATTCCAACAAACACAAGAACAGTAAAATGCCACCCTTATACCCACATAATAGCAACGGTGAAATGCCACCCTTATATCCTCAAAATGATAACTCACACAACACAATAATTTACACGGAAAGTTATCACGGCAATATAACAAAATCAGTTCATATCACAATTTGCCCAATGGCCTCAACCAAAATTCCAAAGATACGACCAAATCAATTAATTTCACAACAAATAGCCAAAGGCTCCACACAATGTGTATATCACCGTAAAAAAATAATCAACAGAGATAGAAATTACTCAGCATAAAGCAAAGATTTCATTAATCCAAATTTAGATAATTATATTAACACTTCTTTTTAAATTTGCTTAATTAATTATTTGTAGAGGAAAAATCCATAATGAGATTAAATTTCAAGAAATATCAAACCAGCAAACTCACGGAATTACATAAATATTCAAATAATAATTACATCAAATTGTCATATAAAAACAAGTTCAACCAACATGGATTTAGGCATGACAAATAGATGATTAAATAAATGCCAACAATTATCCAATTTAATACACAATATGCCTAAGACTTAAACTCAATATATTTTTCACATATAAGCCTAAGTACGTACTCGTCACCTCGCGTACACGGCTTTTCACATTTCACAAACGGCATATAAGACTCGATGCCTAAAGGGTAATTCTCCCACTCAAAGTTAGGCAAGATACTTACCTTTTTGAAATTAGGCCGATATTCCAAATTAGCCTTCTTGCTTAAATTGACCTCCGAAAAGCTCAAATCTATCCAAATTAATTGTATAACTTCATTAAAATTCATCAAAAATAATTCCGGATAATAAAACGTCGACTTGAAAATTTATTCTAAAAAGTCAACAAAAGTCAACACGGGGCTTGCCTCTCAGAACCCGACATAATTTTTACAAAACGTCAACACCCATTGAGATACGAGTTCAACCATACTCATTTTATCAAATTCCGATAAAAACTCGACCTCCAAATCTTCAATTTAAAGTCTATAAATTTTCAACCATTTTCAACCCAAAATACTAATTTAATGATAAAAATAATAATATATTCGGGTAATTTAACCAAAATTGAGTTAAGAACTCTTACCCCGATATTTCCCTTGAAAATCTTCCGAAAATCGCCTCTCCCCGAGCTCCAAATCGTCAAAGATTCAGAACTTAAATATGCTGCCCAGTCATTTCCTCTATGTGATCGCGAAAAAACACCGGCGATCGTGAAGAACAAAATTTTTCCAGCCCTTTTTTACTCTATGCGATCGAGGCCATTCTCCCGCGATCACGAATAACAAATTCCCCAACAGCCTTGTCCAACTTCTTCTGGACAGCCTCTAGTATAACAGTCATAAATTTTCGGATCATCTCCAAATTCCTTATAGATTGTGAAATATAAGCTTCCAAAGTCGGGTCAGTACAGTAGAAAATTTTCTCTACGCGATCGTGAAAGGCCTCCCGCAATCGCAATTCACTGGCCATTTCCCCCCATTTTTTGCTTCGCGATCGCGGCCAATTCCACGCGATCGCATAGCACACTGCTGTAGCTAAATACCAGCAGCTATAAATAGCCTAGAAATGGTCCGAAATCACCCCGAAACTCACCCGAGGCACTCGGGACCCCGTCCGAACATACCAACAAGTCTCAAAACATATTACGGACTTAGTCGAAACCTCTAATAACATCAAACAACGTTAAAACCACGAATCATACTCCAATTCAAGTTTAATGAACTTTGAAATTTCAAGTTTTCACAAACGACATCAGGACCTATCAAATAAATCCGCAATGAATTTAAATTTTGCACACAAGTCATAAATGACATAACGATGCTATTCAAATTTTCAGAATCGGATTCCGACCCCGATATCAAAAAGTCAACCCCCCGATCAAACTTCGTAAAAATTCATCTTTCGCCATTTCAAGCCAAATTCCTCTATAGACCTCCAAATAATTTTTCTGACATGCTCCTAAGTCCATAATCACCATACGGAGCTATTGACATAATCAAAATTTTATTTCGGAGTTATTTGCTCAAAAGTCAACTCTCCGATCAATTCTTTCTATTTAAGCTTCTAAATAAGGATTGTTCTTTTAATTTAATTCGGAATCTTCAGTAAATCAAACTTGACCACACCCGCGGGTCATAATACATATTGCGAAACAACACGAGACCTTAAGTCACTGAACGGGGCGTTAATTCTTAAAACGATAAGTCGGGTCGTTACATTCTCCACCTCTTAAACAAACGTTCGTCCTCGAACGTGCTAAGAATTATTCCGAGGTTACCAAATTGATGATTTTACTTTTACACATACACTCACGGTTGATCCCACGTTACCGTATTTGAGATAAGCCCGACAACACCATCTCATTTGAGATTATTTCTTTTATCCATATTTATAAACTTTAAGATCAATTTCTTACACTCC